GCAGCAGCAGCAGCAGCAGCAGCAGCAGCAGCAGCAGCGCGAGGAGCTGCAGCAGCGGCGTGAGTTTGGTGTCTGTTGACAGCATGCATGCATGCATGTTGCTGCTGCTGCAGCAGCAGCAGCGGCAGCAGCAGCAGCAGCAGCAGCAGTTTCCCTCCTCTCGCTTGCGCGTTGTTTCTTTTAGCTTGCTCTGTCTAGTGCAGCACTGCAGCAGCAGCAGCAGCAGCTGCTGCTGCTGCTGCTGCTGCTGCGGTGTATATACACTTGCTTGGTGTATGAAGAGCTGTTGCTGCTTCTTCTTTTCTTTGTTTGTTTCGCGTCGCCGCACCCAACCCCCATCACCCATCAAGCAGCAGCAAAAGTATATATGCTGCTGCTGCAGCTGCTGCTGCTGCTGCAGCTGCTGCAGTTGCCTCTGTTTGCGTCTCCACTCCGCCTTTCTTGTGGTGCTCTGTTGAAGAGCAGCAGCAGCAGCAGCAGCAGCAGCAGCAGTTGCTGCTGCTGCTGCTGCTGCTGCTGCTGTTTCTTCTTCTGGATAGAAAATTCTTGTCTTCGGTGTCCGGTAGGCTGTCAGCCTCCGTCTTTCTTTTAGTTTAATAAAAAGCAATGCATGCATGCAGTGCATGCATGCATGCAGCGCATGCAGTGTATGCATGCATGCAGTGCATGCATGCATGCAGCGCATGCAACAAGCAGTGCATGCATGCAGTGCATGCAGCACATGCAACAAGCAGTGCATGCATGCATGCAGTGCATGCAGCGCATGCAACAAGCAGTGCATGCATGCATGCAGTGCATGCATGCATGCAGTGCATGCATGCATGCATGCATGCATGCATGCATTGGCTGTTAGTGATCCCGGCATAGAAATAATGTTTTCTAAAGCCCCAAGCTAAATTTGAAGTTTCTCTGCATCAAAGTTTGTAGAGAATTCTGCGTCTAAAGAGCAGCATTTTTGCTGCTGCAGCAGCAGCAGCAGCTGCAGCAGCAGCTGCAGCAGCAGCAGCAGCAGTTGGTGCTGCTGCTGCTGCTGCTGTATATGATGTTTCCTGCTGCTGTTGCTGCTTAATAGATTTACTTTTCGTGTTTTCGTTATTATTATACAAAACATAACGCCACCATATGGCCTCTTATTTGTTTTAGAAACCTTTATTTATATTTATTATATTTATTATATTTATTTATATTTATTTATTATATTTTTTATATTTATTATATTTATTATATTTATTATATTTATTATATTTATTATAGTTTCTCTCTGTCCCTCTCTCTCTGTCTATATATATATATATATATATATATATATATATATATATATATATATATTATTTTCTATATTGAGATATTAGTATATTAATAGTAAGATATTACTTAACTTATAGATTTCAATATAAATAAACTATGGTGATACTCTATATATAGAATAGATAGAATTAGTATAATAATTATATATTATTTTTTTAATATGCATATTAATATAAGTATTTGCGTAGTAAAAACAAAAAAAAATAAAATATTTTAATATTATTAGCGACAAAATAAAAACTTTTTGTTTTTATTTCGGGTGTATGCATGCACGAAATAGAGAAAGCCAAAAGTGAGTTTCAGCACAAAAGAGAAAAAAAAAAAAAAAAAGTTTTTTTGTTTCCCGATGAATAAATTATTTATAAATATAATATTAAATAAACTAATAATTAATTTTACTTTTTTTTTTTTTTATTTCTATATATATATATATTGCACTGCTGCTGAGGTGTACATACACCCCAGATAGTAGGCGCGAACCATCAAAGTTGAATCAGAGAGAAAGCTGCATAAATTTATGATTAAATTTGCGTAATTTTATGTTTTTTTAATTATATTTTATTTATTTTTTGTATTTCTTTGAGTGAAACTCGAAAAAACGCAAAAAAAATACAGCTTTCTCTCTGCTTTCCGCAGCCAGAGAAGAAACCAGAAAAAAAGAAAAAAACAGAAACATGAAACACAAACAACGTAAAGCTATTCAAATACATTAAAAACTAAACAACAGACGATGCGACAACATAACCACATATACTTATGGTCCTAAGAAGAAACTGCAGCAGCAGCAGCAGCAGCTGCTGCTGCTGCTGCTGGTGCTGCAGTTTCTGCTGCAGGAAGGAGTTGCTGCAGCTCTTGCTGCAGCACTTTCTATTGAAGGAATGTATAATATTTGGCGAGTAATATGAATGTTGTATTTTTATTGTTTTAATAGTAATTTATAAATATAAATAAAAAAAAAATAATTATATTTATTATAATATAATAATATTTATTTTTTATATTCAAAGAATACAACAAAAACAAAAATGTTTATTTATATCCCCTTGATAGCAGCAGAAAGAAGATCAGCAGCAGGAACAGCAACAGCAGCAGCAGGAGCATCAAGAAGAGGAGTAAGAGTACTTGTATATTGCTGCTGCAGCAGCATCTGCTGCTGCATCTGCTGCTGCTGCTGCAGCTGCTGCTGCTGCTGCTGTTGCTGCTGTTTTTTTTGTATGCGCCAGAGTATAAATATCCACAGGTACTGCAACAAGAGAAAGAAGAGAATGATGTGAGTAGCAGCAGCAAGCGAGAGCTGCCTATACACCGCAACAGCAGAATATAAAGGGTTCACTAACAAGGAGAGGGCCCCCCCTATCAGCTGAAGGGCCCCCACCAAACGCCCAAAATGCTGCTGCGGGAATCTCCTCTCTACATAAACAAACAGCTGGCTTGTATATACAGAAACAAATATAGTAAAACAAAATATAGATATATAACTCAGGTAATATGCAGACCCTGCTGCTGCTGCTTCTGCTGCTGCTGCTGCTGCTGCTGCTGCTCCTGCTGCTGCTGGTGGTGGTGGTGGTGATGGTGGTGCTGGTGGTGGCGGTGGTGCTGCTGCTGCTGCTGCTGCAGCGCATGCATATGCTAGAACCCCGCTTGTGGTTGCTATGCACATCAATACTAAAACCCCAAAAGCATCAGCAACAGCACCAAGACAAAGACAAGGAAGAAAAGAGAGAGGCAGCAGCTTCTCTAGTGCAGCAACAGCAGCAGCAGAAAAATATAAAAAAGGAGATTCCTGATAAAATACAACAGCACAAGAAACAACACTAAAATAAATACATAAAAATATACATTCATATATATATAAATTAAAAAAACGAAAAAAAAATATAAAATATACACCATCACCTGTATGTACACCGCAACATGAAGACAAATCCTCCCCTACAACCATACTTTCTCTCTCTGTTCTATTTGCTGCTGCTGCTGCTGCTGCTGCTGCTGTTGCTGCTGCTGCTTCTCTGTCCTCTTGCTGCTCCTGCTGCTGCAACTGCATATGCTCCTGCTGCTGCTGCAACTGCATATGCTCCTGCTGCTGCTCCTCCAACTGCATCTGCTGCTGCTGCTGCAACTGCATCTGCTGCTGCTGCTGCTGCTGCTGCTGCTGCTGCTGCTGCTGCTGCTGCTGGTGTTTGTCTTTGAATCCACTATTGGTGAGAAAGAGAGCAGCAAGAAGGAGACAGAGTCCGGGCCCCAGCAGCGCATAGAGAGAGAAGATACGTAGAGGCTGCTGCAGCTGCAGCAGCTGAGCAGCAGCAGCAAGGAGAGGAGGAACAGCAAAAGAAACAGAAGCAGCAGCACCAAATAAACAAATAAAAATAGCTTCGTGATGAGAGAAGAGAGATGCTGCAGTAAGAAGAGGCAGAAATGCTGTATCTGTTGCTGCTCCTATCAGTATAAAACCTAAATATAAAAATATATCTCCTGCTGCTGCTGCTGCTGCTGCTCCTCCTCCTCCTCCTGCTGCTGCTGCTGCTGCTGCTGCTGCTGCTGCATACAAACATATACAACCCAGTATATGCATGCAGTAGCCGCATGCAGCTGTGAACCGGGGCCCCACTCTATCTATCAATACACCAGCAGCAACGCTTGCTGCTGTCATCGAGAAAAGAGATAAAGAATATAAATGTTCTACTGCTGCTTCTTGTGCTGCACACACCTGCTGCTGCTGCTGCTGCTGCTGCTGCTGCTGCAGCTGCTGCTGCATGTGTTGCTGCTGCTGGTGGTGGTGGAGAAATATTCCTCCTCCTCCTCCTTCTGTTGCTGCTGCTGCTGCTGCTGCTGTTGCTGCTGCTGCTGCTCCATCTACACACAAAGAAGCAAAGCCCCCAGACTGCAGCACCATAGAAGCCAAAGCAGCCCACCCAAAGTAAATGCTTCCAGTCAAAGCAGACATTAACGTGCATGCAGCAGCAATCACCCACCGAGGGGCGCAGCAGCGGCAGCCCCGCCAGCCCCCTACACGCCACCACGGGCTCCCGTCTCCTCTCCCGCATGCACGGAACCAGGGGGCCCCCCGGGGGCCCCTGGGGCCCCCCCCAAGGGGGGCCCC